CGGGTTCGATCCTCAGCACCACATACAGACAAAGATGTTGTGTCCGCCAAATACTAAAAAAATAAATAAATATTAAAAAATTCTCTCTCTCTCTCACTCTTAAAAAAAAAAAGAACAGCTCTAATTTAAAAAAAAAAAATCTCCTTTTATGGTAACTTAAACTTGCTTTAGGAATGTGATATTTTTATTTCCCTGACATTTCTCTTCTGTCTACACTACCAAGTTTCTTCTTCCTCTTTATCTTATTCTCTCTTTTCTGTTGGAAGTTTCATCAAAAGTGATCTTTTGATCAGTAAGACGGGACGCTGAAGCTCTGGGTTCCTGGGAGGGCCTGATCCATGGCCATCACTATATCAGGGGTGAGCTCTATTTCTCACCTGGGACTCCCAAACGTGTTCTTTTGGATTTGCCATTTCTCCAGAAAGGGAGCGTCTGGTCTTCTGCCGGAGGCAGGGTACGGGGGCTGGTGTAAGTCTGGCTCCCAGCATTCCAGGAAGAGAGGTGGAGTCTCACCTGTGGACTTGCTCATCTTCATTTCCTGGATGGTGTTGCGTCCTCCACTCTGTTGTTTCCACGTCTCTTTAGCCCGGAGCATAACACAGTCTCCTGGCCGCTTGGCAGGGGGACAGGTCCCAACATCCAAATATAGAAATTCTATATTCTGAATTTGTATACATCTCCCTCCATGGCCACCTAAGGTAGCACATGCTGTCCTTACACATCAGCCCTTCCATGGTTCCTTCTGGTAAAGTGGCTTGTTTCTCATTGGTACCAACTGTTTACCCTAATTCCTCTCAATCATGTAAGGCTACTGCTTCCCCCTCTTTGGTAATCCAATTGCTGCTCCTCCAGATATTTTTTATACTTTAAAATTTGTTGAAATCTCCTCTTCTCTCTTTCCCTCAGTGTTTGCCTGTTTCTACTTTTTTTTTAAATTAATTCACATAATATAAAATTTTCCATTCCAGATAACCCCATGACAATGAGCTCAACACAGTGTTGTACAGCCATCACCTCTATCTAGTTCCAAACCTTTTGTCACCCCAAAAGGAAACCCTGTGTGCATTAGAAGGCCACTCCCCATCCCACCTCCCCTTAGCACCGAGAGATACCAATCTGCTTTCTGTCTCTGTGGATTTGCCTGTTCTATATTTTTTCAATAAGTCAAGTCATTCAATCAGACATTTTGTATCTGGACTTTCACTTAGCATGATTTTTTTGAAGGTCAAACATGTGTAGCATTTATTTCATTCTTCATTATGGCTGAGGTGCCATTTTTCTATATGTAGATGCCACATTTTGATTATCCATTTAGCACTTGATGAATATATTTCTAGTCCTTTTTTTAATTTCCTATAAGGGGTTGGAGCTGGGGAGGGGAGGTACTAGATAATGTTGAGTGGTCAATCTGATGTGTTTAGCCAAAATGATGCTTCCAAGAATTAATGTGAGCTCCATCTTGCCAACCAGAGGGCCACCGGACTCATTTTTACCTCTGTTAGAAAACTGGCTTTGTGACCAGTGCTCCTCAGAGTCACCATGAAAAGCACAGAATCAGCTCATCAAATAAAAATCTCTTTCTCTTCCCTGTCCTGGGGTCTCCAACATGGAAGAAACTGAAAAGAAAACTGCGATCCCAAATTGAAATTGCATAATTCTTTGCATATTAGATAACCCAAAGATTAGATTAACCCAAAGAATATTTACAATTAAGTCTAGAACCAATCAAGTGTTTCAAGCCCATAGAATAATGTTTTGTGTTGAATTCATGGGTAGTTAGTGTTTTAAAAACATAAAAATCTCATTCTACAAAATCTCATACATTAAGCCTAGAATTGGAGTCAAATAGCTTGAGACAAGAGTGACACCCCAAATAGAGATTTAGCATAAAGAGATAAGGGTATGTTCTTAAGCATCACTGCTCAGAATATCCTAGAAACATACAATGTGATCTATAGAAAAAAAAGTAAAAAATAAGGGGTAAGAGGCTCCCGTGTCAGAATTTGCTTAAAAGGTTTATTTCCCAAGTCAATACCTAGAATGAGAATTTGGAGAGGTTACATCAAAGTGCCCCTGATTCCTGAATGTATTAAAAACATAAAACATGAGCCACTCCTGGAAAGGGTGGTGCATATTTCCTCAAAATCCAACCAAAAAGGGGTGGAAAAATTCCAGCCCACAGAAAGAGCTTAAGGCAGGTTTGTATTTTCAGCCATTCCTCTTGCCTCTACTGGGCACAATCTTAGCCTTCCTTTGTTCTAATCTTGGGGGGGTGGGCGGGAGGAAGTCCTTCTCTGCAGGAAGTGGATATTCCCCAGGCCAGTGGATATTCAGCCTTTCCTTGGAGGCCTGGGAGAATTTCTGGACATGCACATGCCAGCTGCCTCTCTGCCTGGGTTTGGGCATTAGGCCCAGGTATGAACACGAACAAGAGCTTGCTCCCTACAACATCTTCCCTCTCTCCTGATGGCAAAGACAGCATGAACAAAGCCACAGAGGGCCATGCTCCATAGGTTTCTAGCACTCTACCCACAGTCCCCAGAGCCTGAGAGGTGACTTCCTTGATTGAGTATCAACTGCTACTGGAAGATAAAGGCTGCCCTGAGCAGAGATTTTTGTCTACGGAACCCACATGCAGCAAGCATGGTACCAGCCTCTACAGAGGGCCAGAGATCCAGCAGCACGGGAGGAGGGCACACCAGCAAAACAGATCCACAAGCAGAAAGGCCAAGTCGGGAAACAGGACACACAAGTTAGTCAGCATATTTGTCGGGTGGCTCGGAAAGGCGGGTGCAAGCATTGGTGACGTGGTGCGTGTAAGGGACTATAAAGGCTGCCACTTCTGGTCATGCTCATCACCCTCAATGTGACCATCCCTTTAACCATCATCCTGCCAATGCCATCATCACCAATTCAAATAAATGGAGCGAGTGACATTATGCACATCATGCCATTCATCACGCCCAACATGGCCAGGCCTATAACTACCATCGCAGCCAACTGCTGTCCAACTGTTTCATATTATCTTAAAACAGGCGAAATGTAAAAAGAGAAAAAAAATGTTACAATTTGCTTTTTTTCCAAGTGAGCAGGGTCAGAACCCATACCCCAGTTGAGAAAGGAGGATGATGGAAGGGATTCCACAGGAATTGCGGCGTGTTCTTGCACCCCTTCGTGAAACGCAGTAAGTGTTCACCTTAGTAAATGAGCACATGCCCTTTGCTAGTGTGAGAGAATTAACCAAGGCCAAGCAGGAAAAGGAGGATCCAATCAAAATCATTCTATTAACTCTACCTAGAAAACTTGGAGCAAGAAATGAATCCCACACCTCAATGAAACGAATTTTTCAGCTTATATTGTTGGTGTGGGTAGAAATAATAGGATTTCTCACACCTAGGGTCATTGATACTCTGTCCCTCCTACTGTGGGCTCTGAAGGCTAGGACAGTTGGCTTTGAATCTGGTTGGAATATGAATGTCATCGCTCAGGGCATAAAGCCATTTGAGGGACCCCCAGATACATCTCAAGGGAAACAGTGAGATGCAGACCAAGGTTCCCGAAGAGACAAGAAGAACCAACAAATTGTCCAAATTGCCACCGCTCTGTCTTCAGGATTAACCCAGGCAGCAATTCACCCACATAGTCATCAAATAGAGCGGAGAAGGCAGGAAACCTCAGGGTTGCCATGGCCCCTAGCTACTGAAAAAGCAGGAACTCTCTCCCTCAGGGAACACCCACCCGGTGGCCATACCACCGCTCCAAGAAACAAGAGCCACCCCTGCCAAGAGGCCTCCGGGAAGAGTCCTGGTGAAGTTCAGCCTCCAACACTCTTCCACCCTTTGTGTTCTGAGAATTTCTGCACGGAGAACCCAATTCCAGTTACACCCCAAGATAGCATCAAAATGATAGGTAAATGTAGCCCAGCTTTCTGGCCCCGCAGCCAAAGCACAGTGCCACGGGGCAGAAAATGGGCTGATTCCCATCTCTCGTGGCGGTGACGTCTTCTTAGACAGCAGCCGAGGGCAGCTGGGTGTGGCGCTGCTCAGGCTGTGCTGCCAAGAAAGCCCTGGGGCAGGCGAAGCTCAGGACTGCTCACTGTGACCTGGGCAAGGGAGAGATCGGGGCTCCCTCTGGATGACATTTGAATGAGCCAAGCCTATAAAAAACATTGGGGTTTGGGGGTCCAACGGGTGATCTGTACTGCAGGAGAGTCCTGGAATCAAAAACTCAGAGGCGAGAGAACATCGCCTCTTCCCCAAGTAGAGGAA